TATATATATATATATATATATATATATATATACATTTATTTATTTATTTATTTATTTTATTTATTTATTTATTTTATTTATTTATCTTGTTTATTTATTTAATCCTTATTTAATTAGATTTATTTATATATATACGTATGTATTTATTTTTATATATTTATACACTAAATACACCACCACAACCAACAGCAGCAGCAGCAGCAGCAGCAGCAGCAGCAGCTATAAAAGTACCTTAGTTGGAGGATTAAGTAGATCTTTTTTGGATTCTTTCCCTATAAGACCAATAGCAATAGGTATATGTAAAGGTTTCTTGATTGGTTGCTGAGGGGACGGAGGAGTGTGCTGCTGCAGGCGCAGCACGTAGCTGCTGCTGCTGCTGTCCCATCTCTTCTCTAATATTGTTACTACTGGTGTACCAGACTGCATGCAGAAAAAAAAAAAAAATTCCTAAACCCTAAACCCTCATAAACCCTCATAAACCCTAAACCCTCATAAACCCTAAACCCTACCCGTGCGTACCACCTCCCTCCATGGCTTATCTAAAATCATCCCAACTAACTCTAAAAACCCTAAACCCTAAACCCTCCCAAACCCTAAACCCTAAACCCTAAACCCTCCCAAACCCTCATAAACCGTAAACCCTAAACCCTAAACCCTCAACCCTAAACCCTGATAAACCCTAAACCCCCTACCTGTGAGTACCATCTCTCGAATTGTGTTAGATCTCTATTATTAGCATCAGCCATTGCCTGTCTAAAATCATCACAAGTAACTGCTTGTCCATCATGACGTTGGAAGTATAGATCCATACCCTTAAGGAAACCCTCACGACCTAATAAGGTATGGTACCTATATATATATATACATATATACATATATAAACCCTAAACCCTAAACCCTTATATATCATTGATATACGAGGAGGAAGAGAGGGGATATTATACACAAATACACATATTATGAGGGTTTATATACAATTAGGGTTTACAATTAGGGTTTTCAATAGGGTTTAGGGTTTAGGGTCTGGTAATAAACCATCAATATATAAATGTTATTCATAACAATATATACCTTAATATGAATAGGATACCTCATGAACAATAAAACATAAAAATGTGAGATTTATTTTTTTAGGGTTTAGGGTTTACAGCTAGGGTTTAGGGTTTAGGGTTTACGGATATCCGTACAACCTCTGTTCCCTCCTCATAGACAGTAAATATATAAAAGTTATCCATGGCTATACAGGACTCAGAAAGAATAGGATAACTAATGAACAACAACTAGACTTAAACATTTCGGATTTTTTTAGGGTTTAGGGTTTAGAGCTAGGGTTTAGGGTTTAGGGTTTACGGACATTCTTACGACCTCTGCTCCTTTCTCGTATACAGTTAGTGTATAAAAGTTATCCATAGCTATATAAGATTCAGGACGAATAGGATGACTCATGAATAACAACTAGACTTAAAAATGTTGGATTTTTTTAGGGTTTAGGGTTTAGGGTTTAGGGTTTAGGGTTTACGGACATTCTTACGACCTCTGCTCCTTTCTCGTATACAGTTAGTGTATAAAAGTTATCCATAGCTATATAAGATTCAGGACGAATAGGATGACTCATGGGTCCTGCATCTTCTTGGTATTGATGTGCCCGTAAGAAAGAAACATCATCTATTCTTTTTACTGCTGCAGACCCTACTGCAGCAGAGAATTGTTGATCCCTAAATACTGTTAGACCCTCTTTTAGGGTTAATTGGAACCAATCCCTATAAATAAATAAATAAATATTTATTTATAAATATTTATTTATATTAATTATTATATTAATAAAAAATAAATAAGCAAAAAAAACGAGGAAAAAAGATATATTCTATGAACATTTATATGTGTATATATATACCTTTTACTAAACCCTAAACCCTAAACCCTCAAAATATCCAACAAGAGGCATAAACCCTAATAAATAATAATAATAATAATAATATATTAAACCCTTTAATTAAACAAGCAATTGTACTGCAGCAACCTGTGTCTATATCTAAAACTGTAACTGTAAACCCTAAATTAGGGTTTAGGGTTTAGGGTTTACGTACCTGCATGTAACCCTATTTCCTGTCCAGTTATGAAAGTATTCATGACCAACAACACCTAATATCCTCTCATACTCAGCATCTGTATATATACACACACATATACATAAACCCTAATTTAGGGTTTAGGGTTTACACACTTGCAGACATAAAAACAAGGACCTCCTCCTACTGCTGCTCTTGCTGCTGCTGCTGCTGCTGCTGCTCTTGCTGCTGCTGCTGCTGCACTACATGCAACATCATGAGCATGAGCATGAGCAGCAAGAGCAGCAGCAGCCTATCTGTATATATAGGTATAAAGAGTGTAACTTTTTCCGTATAATTGCTGGAGCAGTTGCATTTGTTGCTGCATATGTTGCTGCATTTGCTGCTGCATTTGCTGCTGCATTTGCTGCTGCATTTGCTGCTACATTTATAAGAAATAGATAAATACCTGTAGTAGTTTTAGGATCAGCAAGAAGAAGAGAAGAATTAAATATATTAAGAGATTTATTCTCCATAGCCCCCATATTAAAATCTCTTACACATACAATATTAAATATATTTAAATCATATTCTTTTTTATATTCATATTCTTCCCAATAAATACTTTTTTTTATTGAATTTAATGCAAATAATAATTTATATTTCTCTTTTTCTTCTAATTCACTATATATACGTATTATTATATTCTTACCACTCTGTATATATATATACACATTTATATTTATATTTTTATTTTTATTTATTTATTTATTATTATTATTTATATTATATACTCTATATTGATGGGTTATAACACTATATTATTCTCTATAGTTCATTATCTAGGGTTTAGGGTTTAGGGTTTAGGGTTTTAGGGTTTTAGGGTTTTAGGGTTTAGGGTTTATTTACCATTGTCTTATAATTTCCTTCAATATATGTTAGAGGACCAGCAACAAGAGCAAATAAATAACAAGGCTTCTTATATGGGTCCTCGTATACAGCATAGTGCTTATTGGGGGCCCCCTCTAGGGGCCCCTCCTCTATTAGATTACCATTACTTAATAATATAGGGTACAATTTCTTATCTGCCTCTATACGAACCTATAATACAATACAATACAAACCCTAATAAACCCTAATAAACCCTAAACCCTAGAATATATAAACCCTAAATTAGGGTTTAGGGTATATTATTATATATAGTTAATTATACATGAATTTAACGAGAAAAAAAACTGTTAAGTATAAATTAGGGTTTATTAGGGTTTATTAGGGTTTATTAGGGTTTATTAGGGTTTACCTTGAATGTAGCCATAACATCAGGTCTATCTATATAATAAGTAATTCTCCTAAACCCTTCTGCCTCGCATTGTGTACATAATAAAACCCCCGTCTTATATAACCCTGATAATTTAAGGTTATTATTAGGGTTTATATACACTATATTTTTTATTATAAACCCTTTTCCTGCTGCAGAAGGAAGAAGAGAATAAGGGATTATTAATGAACCCTCATTATCTATACTGTACCCTTCTTCTAATTGCGCCCCTGATGAGGGGGCCCCTGATGAAGGGGCCCCTGATGAGGGGGCCCCACCTACTGGGGGGACCTCCTTATTATCTACCCATAAACCCCGTAAATCTAAACCCTCGCCATCTAAACGAAGATCTACAGGAGGGGTTCCTTCTCTTCTTCGCATCGTTAATATAGATGTTACCTGCAGCAGCAGCAACAGCAACAGCAGCAGCAACAGCAACAGCAGCAGCAACAGCAGCAGAAAGAGCAGCAGAAAAAACGATGGTTTAGGTGGTATTAGAGATGCTTCTTTGTATGGGAAAGTGTAAACCCTAAACCCTAAACCCTAAACCCTAAACCCTTGTTCTGGGAAACAACACTACAGCTGTGCCTCCACTCTACTGCTGCTGCTCCTGCTGCTGCAGCACACTGCTGCTGCTGCTACAGCAGCAGCAGCAGCAGTGTTGTGTGTTCTGCTACTGCTGCTACATCAATGATACATCGTACTAATGCCCATCTCCTGCTGCTGCTCCTCCTCCTATTGCTGCTGCTGCTGCTCCTATTGCTGTTGCTGCTGCTGCTGCTGCTGCATGTTTACCTCTGTATTTTCTGCATCAAGACGGAAGCAAAGATCAACATGATCAATAATATAATCTGTAGGTTTATAATCTTCTCTTCTTTTTTCTTTTGGTTCTTTTGTAGGGCGCAGCAGCAATTGCTGCTGCTGCTGCTGCTGCTGCTGCTGTTGAGTGTCAGCAGGAGATACAGTGGTCACGGTGGCACTGCCACCTGACGCTGCTGCTGCACCTGTTGCTGCTGTTAATGCCGTCATTGTTATAGAGGGAGGAGCAATAGGAGCAGCAGCAGCAGCAGCAGCAGCAGCAGAAAGACAGACTACAGCAGCAGAAAGACAGCGACGGTGCTGCATCAACGTTCTTGCTGCAGCAGCACGAGCAGCAGCAGATGTTTGTCTTGTTAATGAGGAAGAAAAAGAAGAATATAAAGAAGAAGGAGGTATATATAGCAGCTGCTGCAGTCTCTTTTCCTGCTGCTGCTGCTGTTGCTGTTGCTGCTGCTGCTGTTTTAACGTATGACGAATAGACCCCCTGCGTCGCAGATTAGCTGCAGCACGAACGAATGCTGCAGCAAAGAAGCAGCAGCAGCAGCAAATAAAGAAAATAAATAATACCTAATACTTAATTAAGTAAATTAATTTAATTTATTTACTTTTTTTAGCACACAATGCAAGAAAATACCATAAATATACACTGCAGCAGCAGCAGCAGCAGCAGACCCACCTGCGCAGAACTACAGCAGCAGCAGCAGCAGCAGCAGTAGTGGTAGCAGCAGCCACGGGGTACTACTGTGGTACTATAACGCCAGCGACGGGCAATATAGGGGCCCCCTAGGGGCCCCCCTCAGGTGTATACGTACCTCTTTTATTGTTAAATATACCTCTATATAAAGAAGAAGAATTAAATAAATAGGGTTTATTGGCAAAAGGGTACAAAGAAGAAAAAAGAAAAGAACGGGGGGGCCCCCCTGCTGCAGCAAAACAAATAGCTGATACAAATGCTGCGCTGCAGCTAAGGAGGCCCCTCTTCATGATGGGGGGCCCCTGTTGTTTATTTTCTTTTTTATGTTTATTTATTTATTTATTTATTATAACGAAGGAAAAGAAGACAAAAGAACAAAAACACGCAGCAGCAACAGCAGCAGCAACAGAAGAAGCAGCACGAAGGGGGGCCCCACGGCTGCCGCGAGGGGAGAGAGGGGGGCCCCCCCTCGTCTCCACCACACACTACGGGGGGCCCCTTTAAACCTTGCAACAAAAAGGGGCCCCCTGCTGCACCCTTTTATACTATTGATTAGGTTTTATTCTCTCTATCTTTTTATACCCAATAAAAGACAGGAAGGGGGGCCCCCGGGGCCCCTAGATCATACCCTCTTTCTCAGCTGCTGCTGCTAGACAAAGGGGGGCCCCCTCCATACCCTGCAGCAAGGAAGCAAGGGAAGAAAAGAGGGGAGAGGGGCCCCCGACAAATGGGGCCCCTAGGGGGAGCTTCTGTGTGTCTTTGGGTCTTAGTTGCTGCTGCTGCTGCTGCTGCAGCAGTCCATCCTGCTGTATGTTCACCGCAGCTGAGGCAGCAGCAGCAGCGGCAGCAGCAGCAGCAGCGGTTGTCTCCTTTCTTTATCCCCTCCCCAAGTATATTCCCTTCTCCTGCTGCAGCAACAAGGGCCCTCACAGCAGCAGCAGCAGCAGCAGCAGGGGGGCCCTCAGGGGCCCCCCCTCCTCAAAACCGCCGAGAGAGGCCCCCCTCTGAACCCTCCAAGGAGGACCCTGTAGGGCTATTAAGAGGGGGGGGGCCCTCTGAAGAAAGGAGAGGGGGGCCCCCCAGCATAGAGAACAGGGGGCCCCCCGCTGGTACCCGGTCCTCCTTTCGTCCCTTTGATAACCTCGAGATATTCCCTCTTAAGGAAGACCCTTTAGAGGAGGGGGGCCCCCCTAAACAAGAAGGAGAAGAATTGGGTAGTCTACAGGGAATAAGCGATGGGGGGCCCCCAGAGGGGGCCCCCAGCGGGCAGCATAGCCAACAGGGTACATCTGCTAGGCTGCCAAGAGGAGAATTCCGGTGGGTACTATTTGGGGTATAATTAAGGTGCCCCCTCTGGGGCCCCACAGGGCCCCCCTAAGGGCCCCCCAAGGGGTCTCTAGTGCCTAAAGGGGCCTTCAGGGGCCCCCAGGGAACACTTATGCAGCGCATAGTTTGCATGCGTTGATGTCTTGCTGTTTTGTTTGCTATTATTTATTAGTTTGTGTTATTTTATATATTTATTTATTTGTTTATTTGTCTGTATTGACCAAGATATTTTAGGGTTTAGGGTTTAGGGTTTAGGGTTTAGGGTTTAGGGTTTAGGGTTTAGGGTTTAGGGTTTGTGTTGTTTCTTAGGCCAAAGCAGAGTTTAGGGCAAAATTTTCTTGCAGATGCAAACATTTGCCGTCGTATAGTTAAGGCATTTAAGGGGGCTGTTGCTGCTGCAGATAAAAGGGAGCAGCAGCAGCAGCAGCAGCAGCAGCAGCAGCAGCAGCCGTCCCTTAGTAGGGTAGTAGAGGTGGGCCCTGGTACAGGGGCCCTTACTCGTGTATTATTCCCCTTATATCCAGATATGCTAGGTAAGTGTCTCCTTTTTTATTCTTTTTTTTTTTTTTTTTTAATAAAAAAGTGTCTCCTTTTTTTTTTTTTTTTTTTTTTTTTTTTTTT